AACATGTGAAGACTCAGGGTGGGTCCAGGCAGTACATGTGCAGCAAATGTGGGAAATCCTTAGGTGGCAAATCCGTCCCCCTTCATATCCAGAGATGGCACAGTGGAGGAAAGAGTTATGTTTGTAGCGAGTGTGCAGAATCCCTTAGTGGGAGCTCATTGTTGATTAGTCATAGGGTTCAGTCTGGAGAACGGTTATATAAGTGTCGTTGCTGTGCAAAATCTTTTCCGTCTATGTCTGCTCTCTCATATCATCAGAGATCTCACACGGGGGAAAGACAGTATGAGTGCAGTCATTGTGGGAAATGTTTTACCAGTAGTTCGGTCCTCCATTACCACCAGAGACTTCACATTGGAGAAAGGCCTTATGAGTGCAGTGAACGTGGCCAGTCCTTTCTCCAAAGAAATAGCCTCAGTGTACACATAAAGGTTCATTCAGGTGAAAGGCCTTTCAAATGTAATGAATGTGGGAAATCGTTGAAGTGTAAGTCAGCATTCATTAAACACCAGAGAATTCACACAGGAGAAAGGCCTTATGAGTGCAGTGAATGTGGCAAGTCCTTTCTACGAAGAAATACTCTGAATGTACACATAAAGGTTCATTCAGGGGAAAGACCTTATAATTGTAATGAATGTGGGAAATCATTTAAGTTTAAGTCAACCTTCATTAAACACCAGAGAATTCACACAGGAGAAAGGCCTTATGCTTGCAGTGAATGTGGGAAATCTTTTATCTCTAGGACTGACCTACGGTATCATCAGAGAATTCACACAGGAGAGAGACCTTATCAGTGCACAGAATGTGGCAAGTCCTTTGTCCGAAGAAATATCCTCAAAGTACACAAAAAGGTTCACTCAGGTGAAAGGCCTTATAAGTGTAATGAATGTGGGAAATCTTTGAAGTGTAAGTCATCATTGATTAAACACCAGAGAATTCACACAGGAGAGAGGCCTTATACTTGCAGTGAATGCGGGAAATCTTTCATCACTAGTTCTGTGCTTCATTCTCACCAGAGAGTTCACACTGGAGAAAGGCCTTACGAATGCAGTGACTGTGGGAAAACTTTTACCACTAGTTCTGTCCTCCGTGATCACCAGAGACTTCATACTGGAGAAAGGCCTTATGAGTGCAGTGAATGTGGGAAAACTTTTACCACAAGTTCTGCCCTTCATTATCACCACAGAGTCCACACTGGAGAAAGACCTTATAAGTGCACTGAATGTGGCAAGACCTTTGTCCGAAGAAATAGCCTGAGCGTGCACCTAAAAGTTCACTCAGGTGAAAAGCCTTATAAGTGTAATGAATGTGGGAAATCATTGAAGTGTAAGTCAACATTCATTCAACACCAGAGAATTCACACAGGAGAAAGGCCTTATGAGTGCAGTGAATGTGGGAAATCTTTTTCAGCTACTTCTGTCCTTCGTTCTCACCAGAGAATACACACAGGAGAAAGGCCTTATGAGTGCAGTGAATGTGGAAAATCTTTTACCTCTAGTTCTGCCCTCCGTTCTCACCAAAGAGTGCACACTGGAGAAAGGCCTTATGAGTGCCATGAGTGTGGCAAGTTCTTTCTCCACAGAAATAGCCTCAATGTTCACATCAAGGTTCACTCAGGTGAAAGACCCTATACATGTAATGAATGTGGGAAATCTTTGAACTATAAGTCAACGTTCATTCAACACCAGAGAATTCACACGGGAGAAAAACCTTATCTGTGCAGTGAATGTGGGAAATCTTTTAGTCATAGCTGTGCCCTCCGGTATCATCGTCAGAGTCACCTTGGAATAAGTCCCTATGATTGTAATGAATGTGGGAAATCTTTTACCTCTAGTTCTGTCCTCCGTGATCACCAGAGACTTCACACTGGAGAAAGGCCCTATGAGTGCAGTCAGTGTGGGAAGTCTTTCACTGCTCGTTCTGTCCTCCGTTCTCACCAGAGAGTTCACTCTCGGGAAAGGCCTTATGAGTGCAGTGAATGTGGCAAGTCCTTTGTCAGAAGAAATAGCCTCAATGTACACATAAGGGTTCACTCAGGTGAAAAGCCTTATAAGTGTAGTGAATGTGGGAAATCTTGGAAGTGTAAGTCGACATTCATAAAACACCAGAGAATTCATATAGGAGAAAAGTCTTTTGCTTGCAGCGAATGTGGGAAATCTTTTATGAGTCAGGGTGCTCTTAGTCATCATCACAGAGTTCACAGTAGCAACAGGCCTTAGGGGTGCTGGTGTTGTGGGGAATCTTTTTGTTAAATCTTTAGTCTCCTTCAACCCGAGGAAGTACACAAGAAATAGAGTCCTTATGGGCAATATTATGAACTGAATGTTTATGTTCACAAAAACTGGTATGTTCAACCCCTAACCTCTAATGCAGTAGGTTTAGCATGTGATATCTTGGGAGATAATTCAAAGATAACGTTTCATGAAAATCTGAATTAGCCCTGGAGCAAGGCTTCATGAGTAGGTGAATGACACAATTCCTTTAGCCGGTTATCTGTATTCATTCCACACTTGAGATTTCACACTGCAGAAAGAGTTAAAAATAGCATAAAAGGTAACATTTCCTTCTTAGAATATTTACTCTGGAGAAGAACCTTTTTGAGGAAGCCACCTTCCTGAATTGAACTTTGTTCACCTGAATCTCTACAGTGGAGTGACTTTGCATAAGTTCAGCCTTTTGGCAAAAAATTCAGAAGGTGTATATTGCGTTCTGATGTGTCTGAAGTTAATGCTAGAAGTCACTGCCAGATTGCATGGCAGAAGTCATTTCATCTCTGCCACCTGGATGGTCCCAATAATGTAGATCAGTCACCACCCAACATGCTTAACAGTGCTGCCGTCCTTTGTCTTTTGCTGATGGAAATTACAGGTAATTGGGTCTCTTCATTTCCTTCTAATTTTGGTCATGCATGTAACCCAGTGTTGACCATCAGTACCTGATCTATGTTTTGGGCAGTTAGTTGCACAGGAAGACTAAATCTCGTAGGGACTTGTTGGTCTTTTAATGCTTCTGATAAATCTTTGCAGCTTCCAAGCTGCAATTTCAATTGCATTTCCAATCAATTTCCAATCTGCATTTCCAGAGGAAATGTTTATGCATTAATATGTCTTTTTTATTTAATTACCTGTAATCTTAGGTGTTGTGTTCACTCTAAGGAGTGGTTTGAAATCAGAATTGGGCTCCCCACATGTAGGATTGAACAGATTTCATTGCATTCCATGTTAATTGTGTCCCAGAATGGATACTACCTACCTGCATACAACATTACTATTCTCCAGCCCGGGCCTTAATTTGTATTAACTCTAAAACCTATCTGATGGGCTGAATGTGCACTCACAATTCGCATTTTGAAGTTATAACCCCCCCCAACCTCACGATGTGACGATAGTTAGACATAGCGTCTTCAAAGACCTCATGAAGTTGAAGTGGGTTATTAGGATGGACTCATGCGGTATGGCTGGTGTCGTAAGAAGAGGAGATGAGGGTACAAGCACACTCGGGTGACTGTGAAGATGGCATTCCCGTCTGCAAGCCAAGGAGAGAGGCCTCAGAAGAAACTAACCCGGCTGACACCTTATGTTCAATTTCAAGACTCCAGATTGGGGTGAAATAAATTTCTGTTGTCTGGTCACCCAGAGTGTGGTGGTGTGTTACATCAGTTCTAGTTAATAACAGCCTCCTCGGATCCACATCTGGGTTTTGTGGTCTGGGTGCCAGGAAGCTTTGTGTGCCCAGAGGTCACCTTGAAGAGGGAGCACTTGAGACCTTCTCCAGTGCTTGTGGAAACAAGAATATTTTGCTTGTCCACAGCTGATAGCCCAGGCTGCCGGGCACTGTTGAGTGGAATCTCTACCCACATCTTTCACAGGAGCCTTGTGACCGGCTGTGCAGTTTCCACTTGGAACTCCACAGGGGCAGGGGGACTGTAATTGGTAATCTAGATGATTGGGTAACTAGGGAGTAGAGGAGACATCAGCCACCTAAGTGGTGTGTATCTCTTAAAAAAGTGTGCCCTCAGATGTTTCAGTGACTGGCTGGGAAGGATCAGTGTGCACAGAAATTCTCCACTTTCAGATACACGTTGTCAAAATAATCCAAAGGTCTCTGAATTCTTTTGTCCTCTGTGGTGGCTTACATGTCAAGGCCACTGTGGTTTAGGCCAGAAAATGACAAAAACGGGAGATTTCAGAGTCCAGGGGTGTAACTTTGTGACCCTGCTTAGGCAGCATTCTTCTTAGTGTCTTGTATAGCTATGGCAGACACATGTTCTGAATCATCTTCCTCCCTAGTTGTCTCTCATGTACACCCCAGCCTCCAGGGTTATAAAAGCAAGTCTTACTGGTGGAGGTGGTGTGGAGTCCTACTTCTGCTAAGGTTGCCCCAGTCTTGCTTCTGTCCCCAAGGCCTTCAATAAACCATTCCTTGGGTTGCGTGGGTGGCTCAGTGGGTTAAGCATCTGCCTTGGGTTTAGGTCATGATCCCAGGGTCCTGAGATCAAGCTCTGCATTGGGCTTCTTGTTCAGCGGGAACCCTGCTTCTGTCTGCAGCTCCCCGTGCTTTGCTTGCGCTCTCTCTCTCTCTGTTTCTCTGACAATGGATAAATAAAATCTTAAAAATAGATAAACCATTCCTCCTCAAGCTGGATTTCCATCCTTTTAAGATTTTGCTTGTTAGGGTGCCTGGGTGGCTCAGTGGGTTAAGCCTCTGCCTTCAGCTCAGGTCATGATCTCAGGCTCCTGGGATCAAGCCCTGAATCGGGCTCTCTGCTCAGCAGGGAGCCTGCTTCCTCCTCTCTCTCTCTCTCTCTGCCTGCCCCTATACCTACTTGTGATCTCTGTCTGTCAAATAAATAAATAAAATCTTTTAAAAAAATTTTTTTTTTTGCTTATTAGCATGAGCTGGGGGAGGGGCAGAGGGAGAAGCAGGCTCGCCAGTAGGGAGCCTGATGCAGGCCTTTATCCCAGGACCCTGAGCTCACAATCTGAGCTGAAAGCAGAGGCTTAACTGACTGAACCACCCAGACACCCTCTCACGTTTTTACTTTGGTTATTTGGCTCTGAGGTCATTTTACATATGTGTCCCTTTCAGTCAACAGTACTGTTTTCTTTTCTGGATATATACACTATCGATCTCTTCATCTGTTGGGAGCACTTGGGTTACTTCCAGTGTTTCACTTACACAAACAAATCCCTCTATATATTTTCATTATGGTTCCTTACGCGGATAGAGGTTTCATTTCTCTTCTGTCAAAACTCAATGTGCATTGGCTAAGTCACAGGTAGGTGAGTGTTAACAATTCCCTGAAAGGGCCAAGGGCCAAAATGGAATCTAAACTGTTCACCGTCGCATTCCCACCCCGCATATGTGAGAGGTGCAGTTTCTTCTGACCCTGACAGTACGTACTCGGATCAGTCTTTCATGTCAGCCCTTTTAACACGTGTGCGGTGCTGTGTTGTAACTGCAGTTCCTAGGGATTTCTGCCTTTCAGCATTTTTTTTTTCATGTGTTTATTTACCACCTGTATGTCTTCTGTCATACAATTTCTGTTCATATCATTTGCCCATTTCTTTTTTTTTTTTAAGATTTTTTTAAAATTTATTTGACAGATCACAAGTAGGCAGAGAGGCAGGCAGAGAGAGGAGGAGGAGGCAGGCTCCCTGCTGAACAGAGAGCCCGAAGTGGGACTCAATCCCAGGACCCTGAGATCATGACCTGAGCCGAAGGCAGAGGCTTTAACCACTGAGCCACCCAGGTACCCCTGCCCATTTTCTTTGAAGTGAGTTATGACTAGTACCCTTTTCTTTTTTTTTTTTTTTTTTTTTAAGATTTTATTTATTTACGGGGCACCTGGGTGGCTCAGGTCATGATCTCAGATTCCTGAGATCGAGTCCTGCATGGGGCTCTCTGCTCAACAGAGAGCCTGCTTCCCCCTCTCTCTCTGCCTGCCTCTCTGCCTACTTGTGATTTCTCTGTGTGTGTGTCAAATAAGTAAATAAAATCTTTTAAAAAAAAAGATTTTATTTATTTACTTGACAGAGATCACAAATAGGCAGAGGCAGGCAAAAAGAGAGAGAAAGGAGGAAGCAGGCTCCCTGCTGAGCAGAGAGCCTGATGGGGGACTCTATCCCAGGACCCTGAGATCACCACCAGAGCCAAAAGCAGAGGCTTAACCCCCTGAGCCACCCAGATGTCCCATGACTAGTTCCTTTTTCAATTTCAAATAAGACATGCATGCAACGAAGGTATATGATGGAATCTTCCTCATTCACACATGGTGTGACATTTTTGTCTGTGGAGTCAGAGTTATACTGGAAGGGTATTCAGTATTTTTCCTCAAATTTTTTTTTTCATATGGAATCTTAGTTGTTTTTTTTTTATTAACAGAATGTATTATTTGCTTCAGGAGTACAGGTCTGTGAATCATCAGGCTTACACAATTCACAGCACTCACCATAGCACATACCCTCCCCAATGTCCATCACCCAGCCCCCTCATCCCCCCCTCCCCTCAGCAACCCTCAATTTGTTTCCTGAGATTAAGAGTCTCTTGGGGTTTGTCTCCCTCTCCAGTCCCATTTTGTTTCATTTTTTCTCTCCCTTTCCTCCACAACCCCCCCGCCCTGCCTCTCAAATTCCTTACATCAGGGAGATCACATGGAATTGTATTTCTCTGACTGACTTATTTCACTCAGCATAATACCCTCTAGTTCCATCCACTTTGTTGCAAATGCCAAGATTTTGTTTTTGTTTTTTTTGGATGGCTGCATAGTATTCATTGTGTATATAGACCACATCTTCTTTATCTGTTCATCTGTTGATGGACATCTAGGCTCTCTCCATAGTTTGGCTATTGTGGACATTGCTGCTATAAACATTTGGGTGCACATGCCCCTTCGGATCACTACATTTGTATCTTCAGGGTAAACACCCAGTAGTGTGATTGCTGGGTCGTATGGCAGCTCTATTTTCAACTTTTTGAGGAACCTCCATGCTGTTTTCCAGAGTGGCCGCACCAGCTTGCATTCCATCAACAGTGTAGGAGGCTCCCCTTTCTCCACATCCTCGCCAACATCTGTCATTTCCTGACTTGTTAATTTTAGCCATTCTGACTGGTGTGAGGTGGTATCTCATTGTGGTTTTGATTTGTATTTCCCTGATGCCAAGTGATGTGGAGCACTTTCTCATGTGTCTGTTGGCCATCTGGATGTCTTCTTTGCTGAAATGTCTGTTCCTGTTCTCTGCCCATTTCTTGACCTAGAGTTGAGAGTCCATTGCTGGGCTCTCTATTCTGTTCCATTGATGTATGTGTCTGTTTTGTGCCATCCTCAGATTTTTTTGTGTCCACAATGTCATGGCCCAAAATACCTTATGGATTTAAGTCTAGGGTGCATTCTTACTTCTGTCATCATTTTCTTCTTAAGTGCAGCCAATCAGGAAAACAAAACTTCATCCCCACTTTGTAGTTTTTGGCACTTTCCAGAGTATAAATTCTCCCATTGTGAGAGTGGGATATTCTCAGAAAAAGGTGCTGAATAACTGTATTTGGGTGTTTGGTGGAAAACTGCTCACTGTGGGGGGTGGGAGCTGACTGGAGGTCTGCAGGAGCTCATAGGCAGGAGACTTTAATCCTGACAGGTCAGAGGGGAGGGACTTCCTTAAACAGCCTGATCCATGACTGAAAATCTGGCTGGTTCTCAACCTAGTAATGACAACGTTGCCAGGCACACCCACCTGGTTCAGAGTTGCTTCCTCCCATCCCACCCAGTAGACTGAAAGAACTTCTCACCCTGGTGCACCAACCAAATGATTCATTTCCTTCTCTTTATTTTTTTTTTTAAGATTTTATTTATTTGACAGCACAAGTAGGGGGAGCAGCAGAGGGAGAAGGAGAGGCAGGCTCTCTGCTGAGCAGAGATCCGGCTGTAGGGCTTGATACCAAGACCCTGTAATCATGATCTGAGCTGAAGGCAGACACTTAACAACTGAGCCACCCAGGCGCCCTCCTTCTCTTTCTGTAATAGTTGGCTGCTGGTCCCCAAGAAGTCTACATTCTGTGCATCTCACCACAGCCTGGGACTGTGTTTCCAGACAGCTTTTCAGGGGAAGACTCCTGGGCCTGGGGCGGGGGTGGGCGCTGGCGTCATTTCCAGCTTCCCCCTATCCTGGAAGAGCTGGGAGCCAGGTGGGTTGGGGCCTGTCTCAGAATAGATCTGGGGTCAGTGTTGGTGCAGCTTTTGCTTGTTACCTCCAGGTGGTGACTTCAGTCTTTTGTTTGAACTATGGCCTTGACATTCTGCCTGTTCTGATCCACTTTCACCCTCCACCCAAGGGCTTGCGTGTCAGATCCTTTGTAGCTGCAGGCTGGGGGATGCACAGGAATGTCGTTTCATGGTTCAACCTGAAGCTGCCACCTGGGCTCTGACCAGTCTCAGCTCCTCTCACCTAGAGCTTAAGTGGCTACAGTAGGGGACCATGTCACCCAACATGTGCTAATTCTGGGACTCTAGAAGTTTGGCACTGACTTTTGCCAGCTATGCAAGAGAGTGGAGGAAGGGGAGACATCCGGTGTAAATCTCTTTAAGGCTGCCCTTAATGCGTGGGCTGTAATGCCAATTGC